AAACCTTATAAACCCTCAACCCAAAACCGGGATTTAGGGTGTAAGGTTCAGGTTCAGGGTTTAGGGTCTAGGGCTTATAGGGATTAGGGATTTAGGGTTTAGGGATCAGGTTTCGGAGGTTGGGCTTCAGGGTTTAGGGCTTACAGGGTTTGGGGTTCAGGGTTTAGAGGAATCAGGGTTCGGGGTATTTAGGGCTCAGGGTTCAGAGTTTAGGGCTCGGGGGTTAGGGTTCCCTAGGGCTTCTAGGGTTTATAGTGTTTCGAAATGATGTAATTACATCAAAATGATAACACTACCTGCGATGATGAACATAATTATGATGACTACATGATGGCAATCCCTAAACCCTAATCCCTAAACCCTAAACCCTAAACCGTAAGAACAGCAACAGCGATGAAGATGTCCATGGTCATGGCGATGGCGCCTGCGATAGCCATACATGCTACCAACAAGACCTGCATTGTCAGGATTGGACTAGACGGCTTAGGGTTTAGGGTTTAGGGTTTAGGGTTTAGGGTTTAGGGTTTAGGGTGTAGACGCCGTCCTCCCAGAATGAATGAGTGCTAAGCTCTTCATTAGCAGAGTCGAAACCCCAGAGCTTTCTAATTTCGAAGCATCATACAGCCGGCTGGCCTGCTGGAACGCGGGCGGCCCTGTTGCAAATGTACCTCAGGACACTTGGAGGGTCAGAGGACTCAGCAAGTAGAGACTTTATAGGGGTTTAACATGTCATACGGCTGATGACATAAGTCCTGCAATGCCCATAATAAGGAACATACCATAATTCCCATACCCTAAACCCTTAACCCCTAAACCCTAAACCCCCAAACTCCTAGGTCCTAAACCCTGAAACCCCTAAACCGTTTAGGGTTTAGAGCTGGGTTCAGGGTTTACAAGGTTCTGCAGACCGAAACCCAAAGCAAAAAAAAGCACATTAAGAAGCTACCTTAAGGCCTAAGTATTCCTATTTGGGTACATGGACCCTTAGGGAAATTAAGGGTATGTATTTAGGGTCTTTAGGGTTTAGGGTCTAGGGACCCAAACCGGGATTCCTAGAGGGTCCGAGTTAGGTCTCAAAGCCCATACCCTGAGTGGTTTTTGGACCTTGAAACCCTACTATTTGGGTTCTTGGACCCTTAGGGTAAGAATCACACAACGCTCTAACAAAACCCCCAAAACAGGAGAAACAAAACCCCCATCGAAGTACTCCCCAGAGAACCCAATACGTCTTAGATAAGGAATATGCCTTAAATTATAGGGGCCTTATTATTATGATTTCAGGTATATTCCTGAATGAAGGGGTATTGGGTTCTCTGGGTCCTGACTGCGGCTCATGCGGCTCCTGCATGTGAAGAGGGGCTTTGCAAGAGCGGCACCTTCCCAACTCCTTCGTTTCTTTTGCACAGGCTCAGGCGGACTTCCGGGTTTAGTTCGGGCTTAGCGTTCAGGGCATGCTAAGGGTTAATGGGTTCGGGTTTGGAGGTTTAGGACTTTTTTCGGGTTTAGGATTTAGGGTTTAGGGAGAACCACTGCAAATCCCTTAATTAGGCTCTGGGGCTTGGGGGTTTATCTGGGTTATAAGCTTTCCAGGGTCGTACAGCTTTTAGAGGTTTCACAGGGGTTGTACAAGAGTCAGAGTTTTTGGGGGCTTTGTGGCCTTGGGCTTTAAGTTTAGGATGAGGGCCGAACCGTAAAGCCTAAACCAAAAAAACACCTAAGGCGAGCTCCGCCAAACCCCCGCCTAAACCCTAAACAGTAAACTCTAAACCCCTAGACCCTTAAAACCCCTAAACCCTGAACCCAAAACCCTAAAACCCTAAGCCCTAAACGCCGTTCTCGTTTTGGCGACTGCTTTTGCTCCACCCTCCATGTAGCGTTTCGAAGGTCCTTGCCTCGGACTGGAACGCGGAAGACGTGGGTTCAGGGTTTAGGTTTCTTTTTTTGTTCAAGGTGTGGGTTTTAGGGTTTAGGGTTTGGGGCTTGGGGTTTAGGGTGTAGGATTTAGAGCTTATGTTTAGCGTTATAAGGTTTAGGTTTAGGGTTTACGAATGCTTTAGGGGCTAGAATTTCTGTAGTGTTTAGGCTAGTTTTGGGGTCTGCTTGACAATTAGATCAAGGTTGCCTGAGGATGATAGGGCTTCGATTCGAGGCCATAAATTGCAGAATTGGACAGGACCTTGGTGGTGCGTTGTGGCAAATCTTACTAGCTAATGAATATGGGTGCCCCAATGACGAGGCAGGACTTTTGACTTCCTTTACGGCCAAAAATGACCGACAGACCCATGCCCCCTCACTTCCCGGACGATGCAGCTCATGAGCTGTCTGACGGATTCCAGCACCTGCGGCGGGCTTTCGGCCACAAGAGGGACAGCCAACTTGCCCCTCCAAGTAGGACCGGGTACCGTGATGGTGATCCCAGAGAGCCCAATACGCCTTAAATAAGGAATATGGCTTCAATTAAAAGGGGCTACATATTATGATTTTAGGGTTTGAGGCCTGAACTTGACCACTGCGTTTCTGCCTCGGACAGGTACGGCTCGATTTTAGCTTTCTTCCTTATTTAAGGGCTATTGGGCTCTCTGGGGGTGCTGTCTCGACAGCTAGTTGAGCCGTCTTGCCGGCATCTTCCATGGCAGCCTCGAGCCGACGCAAGACTTCGGAGAACAGGCCCTTCAGCCAAGGGAGTGCCGGGAGCTGTCCCTGTCTTACTGTTGATGATAGGAATCCTGCATTACTTTAAGGACCCTACACTATGAAAATTATGGATTATATTCTTTAGCCCATGGATAATGCAGGATTTATATCATCAACCGTAGTGGCGTATGTATGCTGGATACCTTGGCCTGTAACAAACTGCCCTATACCCCTAAAACCCTAAACCCTAAACCCTAAACCCCTAAGCCCTAAACCCTAAACCCTAAACCCCTAAAGCCCTCAACCCTAAACCCTAAACTTGAGGGTTTAGGGCTTAGAGAGTTGAGGGAGTTGAGGTTTTAGGGAGTTGAGGGTTTAGGGTTCAGGGAGTTGAGAAAACAACGTAGGGTGTTCGAATTCTTGACCCGGGAGTCGCTCTCAAACGACAAGAAAAGCCGACTTCCCGTCGATGAAGCAAAGGGCTTAGGATTTACGGTTGAGGGTTTAGGATTTAGGGTTAAGGGTTAAGGGTTTAGAGTTTAGGGCTAAGGGTTTAGGGTTTAGGGTTTAGGGCTTAGGGCTTAGGGTTTAGGGTTTTATAGGGTTTAGGGGCTCCGTTCTGACCAGACCTCCGCGGCTCTCGAACAAAGCCGTCCGCTGTAGGCATCTCTTAAATCCTATCACGAGAAGAAGGACACGGGTTTGGGGCTTAGGGTCGACTACGTTCCCCAGTAGAGGCCTAATGATAAGGGTACCCTTGTTCCTTCTCTTTGGGTTCAATCAGGGGCCCCAAAAACAAAAGGGGCAAAAGCCTCGGTCGGGACAACACCCACCGAGAAGGCAACGTAGGGAACCCAACCCCTCTCTGGGAGTGCGTTGATCCATGTACTAAGCAGAACCTCGACCCTAGCGCCTCACGTCTAAACCCCTAAAACTGCAGCCCGAACCTATATCTTGACGCCCTTGAACCCGAAAGTTGTGGTAAACTGAACAACCACGGTTTAGGGTTTAGGTAAATCGCGCTAGATCAAGTGCGCCCAGATTTGGAGTTTGTAGAGCTTAGATTAGAGCCTCGGCTCTATAGGTTTTAGAGTCTTAGAGTCCAGGGATTTGGTTTTAGGCCCTAGGACAAGCCCAACTACAAAAATGAAAACCAGAAAAAGGCACGGCTTCAAACCCCAAACCCCTAAGCCCTTGACCCCAAACCCCCGAACTCAAAACCCTGAACCCCAAACCCCTAAACCCTTACCCCGAAGTCCTAAGCCCTATAAGCCCCCAAACCCTAACCCCTAAACCCTAACCCCTAACCCCTAAACCCTAAACCCTAAACTCGAACCCCTAATCCCTAACCCCTAACCCCTAAACCCTAACCCCTAAACCCGAAACCCTCAGTTAGGGTCTCGGTCTCTAGGCAATGATTGCCCGGGAGCCCACGGCGTCGCGCGCTGCAGCCGCGCCTCGCGCACGGCTCCCAGCCGCCCGGGTTCGGAGATCCTCCAGAACAGTAGTTTTTTGGGTTTAGGGTTTAGGGTTTAGGGGTTTAGGGTTTAGGGTTTAGGGATTAGAACAGTTTTGGGTTCTTTTGGTGTGTTTGGGGTGTAGGGGTTTTAATTTAACCCTAAGGCTCTAAGGACTCATATTTTAAGGCTTTTGGGCCCAAAGACCATACTCTAAGGCTACCTGCTTGTCTGTATGACCGATCCGAGCCATAAAACTAAGGTTGATGATATAAATCCTGCATTACCCATTAAAAGGAATAGACGGAATAGACCATAATTCCCATAGTTTAGGGTCCTTAAGGTAGTGCAGGAGGATTTCGATCATCAACAGTAGTTTTTTGGAGTTTTTTGGGGGGTTTAGGGTGTAGGGGCGTTAATATAGGTTTAGGATTTCGGGTTTTGGGTTTTTGCCGTTTTTTGGGGTTTAGGGTGTAGGGTTTTTAAGGATTTAGGATTTAGGGTTTAGGGCGTGGGGGTTTTTGGGTTTGGGGTTTAGGGGTTTTTGGGGTTTTTGGGATGTAGGGTGTCGGGGCTTTAAGGGTGTGGGATTTAGGGCCTAGGGTTTAGAGTGTAGTGGTTTAAGGGGGAGGATTATCAGGGTTTAGGGTGTAAAGGCTTTAGGATTTCGGGTTTAGGGCCTCGGGTCTGGGGGTTTATGTGTTTAGGGTGTAGGGGTTTTTAGGGTTTTAGGATTTAGGGTCTAGGGTGTAGGGGTTTACGGGGTTTAGGGGAGCCCCAAAACGAATAAGGCAGAAATCCCAAAGTCCTGACCCCTGGAACCAAGGGCAATGAGCAACCAACAAGGATTGAAGGTTTAGGGCTTATAGGATTTAGGATTTATTTATGGGTTTGTGGGTTTAGGGTTGGGGGTTTACGATTTTATTCCACGTCTAAGCGGCAGCGACTGCAATATCCGAGCCCATAAAGAAGTTGGGTGTTAATCTGGCCACTATACATATTCATGTGGGAATATGGATTCTGCCGCTATCCCTGATGGTCAGCAGAAGTGGGGTGGGGCCTAACCTCAGGTCTACGTAGTCATATCGAAATAAAGAGGGCCTAACCTATAAGGTCTACATTGCGCCCTACAATTTTCAACCCTCAAGGGCAAACCCTGAATCCGTAAATCCCGAAACCCCTAAACCCTACACCCTAAATCCCTAAACCCTAACCCTCTTTTAAAGACTTTCGGCGGTTTTGGACGGAAGCCAAGGTCTACAGTAAGTCCTAATGTAGGTGGGGGCCTTAATTAACTTGAATATGTTTTTTCTCAATTTTTCGATTTTTTTTTTTTTGGGGGGGGGTCCTTAAAATATGTATAGTAGAATATACCCCCAAAACCCTCTTGTAATTATTATTATTGTTATTATTATTATTATTAAGGCCCATATTAGTCCGCAAAGCTGTCGCCTCAAGAACCGCCTGCCGCTGGTAGATCTGCTCCCAGATCTCTTCCTCGGTTTGGGGCTTCAGGGTTAGGGTTTAGGGTTTAGGGTTTAGGGCTTAGGGTTTAGGCTTTAGGGTTTTGAGGGTGCATAGGTCTCGGGCTTCTTGGGTTCAGGTTTTTTTGTGAAGGGCTTAGGAGGGTGTAGGGTTTAGGGTCTAGGGTTCAGGGTTCAGGTTTTAGGGCTTCTTGGGTTTAGGGCTTTTTGGATTTAGGGTTCAGGGTTTAGGGCTTCGGGTTGAGCACTTACGGGATTCTCCCACCTTCATCCCCTTCGTTCCGCACTCTGAGCCACACAAGGCGTAACTATGCCTAGTGGCATTGATTTGGGATTGGGTGTGTTGAAATCTGCGTAACCCCAAACCTCAAACCCTGTTCTGGAGGGTCTGGGGACTTAGTACAAGCCCCATCCTACCCTTGAGATCACAGGACTTGTAGCACATCGGCAACATTCGAGGCTACAGATACCCCCCCTAAACCCTAAACCCTAAACCCCTGCAAACCCAAAACCCATGAACCCCGTTTTGGTTTAGGGTTTTAGGGGCTTCGGGCTTCGGGTTTAGGGTTTAGGGGATTAGGATCCCTATTTGCCACTCATAGAAACCTTCTGAAACCAAAACCAGAATGCAGGCACCGAAAAAAAGAGGCCTTCCTGCCCTTGGCTTAGGGTTCACGGTTGAGGGTTTAGGGTCAAGGATACCGAGATTTGTGCCAAGTTGGCTGCTGCCACAGCTTAAAAAGGCGCTTCTTGGAAGTATGAAAACTTCGGGCCTAGCGCAGTCTCTGGCTACCTTCTGGGGTTTCAGGCTTGGGGCTCAGAGTTTAGGTTTAGGCTTTAGGGTTTGGGGTTAGGGTTTAAGAATTCAGGGCCTAGGGTTCGGCATGCTGAAGTTCAGGGGCTAGGCTTAGGGTTGCAACTCTGGCAGGTCACGAGACGCTTCTCCTTCTCGGCGCTTGTCCTGCGCGATTCTGCCTGCCGGTCAAAGGAATACTTGGAGGATCACGGGACTTAGTAAGCAAGGTTACAAGTAATCTAATTGGTGATAACAAGTAATCATCAGTATAGTTACCTTATTTATAACCCTAGTTACTAAGTGCCACGACCCTTTAAGTAGAGGAGCCAAAACATCGAACCCCGCAGCACTATAAAGGTTTGGAGTTTGAGATTTCAGGCCGTAGGGCGTTCTTGTTTGAGGCCGTTTCAGGCTTAGGGTATTGAACCCCTAAACCCTGAAACAGTTGAGGGTTCAGGGTTTAGAGGTTTATAGGGGTTAGGGTTTAGGACCCGTAAACTCCTACGAAAGCAACCCTAAACCCTAAACCCCAAACCCTAAACCCTAAACCCTAAATCCTGAACTCCTACGAAAGCCTGGACTTCGCATCCCAGCCCCGTGCTGGCCTCCGTCTCGTGAGCCTCCGCTAACTCCGAGGTCAGGACCTGTATGCCTCGGAGACAGACAAGGTGTTTAGGGGTTTTAGGGTTTAGGGTTTAGGGTTTAGATACGGTATTCTATGGAGCTCTTAGGTAGGCTTTCATACGGCTTTATTTTGGGTCGTCTGAGCATTTAATTAGGGTTTTGGGGTGTCGTAAGTGCTTTTGGGCTTCATGTGGAGGGGCTTCACAAGGCTTGCAAGAAGTCTTAATAGTGTATATAAGGTATTCCAACAAGGTTTAGGGTTTGGGTTTGGGTATTACAGGGGTTCCGGGTTTCATGTAAATGGTTTTTGTAAGGTTTTGATGGGCTAGAGAAGGACTCCATTGTCTCACAAGGGTTGGAACGCACCTTCAGCTACCATATCCGACTTTTTTGTAGGTTCTTATTATAAACCCTAACATGAAATATTAATATATAGGGACCCTACAAAAATGTAGATTTGGTAGGTTAAGGTAGGGTGCTAACGGCCTCGTGAAGGTCCGACCAGGGTTGGGGGGGGGTTATGCGTTTATGCAGCTTCATGAAGCTAGGTTTGTAGATGCCTGGTCAATAAGCACATTTCTTCCACTGCATGTTCAGATCCTAATTATCATCATTATAATCCTAATTCAGGGATACGAATCTATCGGGACATGTAAAAACGATGTACCGCCCTAAACCCAAAGCCCTAAACCCTAAGCCCTAAACCCTAGCCTGGGTGGCCGGAATAAGATTTCGATGTTTGTCCAATGGTCGCTCAGCAAATGCTAAAGCCCCTTTAGGGTTTAGGGTCCCAAATGCCAACACCCAATACCCTAAAACCAGCAGAAAACCCTTGCAGAGCACTTGCAGAACGTCTCGAAAAACCTAGCTATATGAACCTGTTCAAAAATAATTTCGTGACAACCTGACCAAAAACCTATCAACAAAAACACGAGGAACACCCTACATCCTAAACCCTAAAGCCTAAACCCCAACCCATAAACCTCTTCCGGGCCCAGGGACGCTCCTCCCGCTGTTGCAGCGCCGCACGCCGGCGCTGAAGGAGGCTCTGACGCTCGTCGAGGTCCGCCTCCTGCAAAGCTGGCTTGCCGGGGGTATGGGGGTTTAGGATTTGCCTTAACGTTTAGGGCGTTTAGGGTGTTTAGGGTGTTTAGGGGTTTAGGGGTTTAGGGGTTTAGGGGTTTAAGGTTTAGGGTCAATTCCATAAAGACGAAATGACCCCTAAAAGGGCTGAAGGTTCATACATACCCTCTTTCCTTACTTTTAAGGGTCTTTTGGTCCTTGTAAGGTAAGGGTCCAAAGGATCCGATAATTGGGTATTTGGGTTTAGGATTCATGGTAGTTATGCAGGTTATTGATTGGGGAGTACATGATTATTGGGTACCTGGGCTCTTAGGGCATATATTAGAAGCTATATTAAACATTCAGGCTTGTGGCTTAGAGGGCTTCAGGGCGCTATGTTAGATTTTCTGCCTTACTTTCACTCACGGCTAGATTCGAGAGGGGCCTCATCAGAATAGGCTTTGGGGTATATCATAATCTCTCTAAGCCCTAAACCCTCGGTTGGGGAAATACAAATTGACACATACAAACGATCCTAAACCCTAACCCCTAAACCCCTAAACTCCACCACTAAACCCTACATCCTACATCCTGACGAGGCATCCAGTTGAGGGGCGTTTTGGTGGTTTTCCAAGCGATGGAAAGCGGACAACGAAAAAGATGCCCTGAGCACCGAAACAACCAACACCCCGGAACGCCAAGATACAAAACCTCCGACCCAGCTTTCCCGAAAAACGAAAAACAAACCTAAACCGCCCCAAATTCGAAACACCAAAACCCTAAACCCTATAGCCCCTAGAAACCTAAACTCCAAACCCTGGACTCGAAACAAAAACTATGAGGCCCTGCCTTGGTCTGCATTTCTCTGCGCAGCGGCTCCAGACGTGTCTGCCAATCCCGGACCTCCGCGCGAAGGGCCTCCAAAAGAGTTGATTCTTGCTTTCGGCCATTTTGGGTCAAGGGATATAGAGGATAAGGGTTTAGGGATGCTTAGGGTTGAGGGTTCGGTTTAGGGTTGCGGGGATGGGGGTTGATGTTCTACAGGTAGTTTTGTAAGGGTTCTACTGCTGTGGGGTCAGGGGTCTACTTGGAGGATCTTGGGACTTAGTAAGTACGGTTATAAGTACCTTGATTGGGGTTATAAGTAATTATAACTATGGTTACCTTATTTATAACCTCAGTTACTAAGTCCCATGATCTTTTAAGTATGGTTTTGGAGTTTAGGATCACAGGGTTCAGGGTTTCTGATTGGGTCTGAGGCGCCTCTGATTGCGTGCTTCGAAGAAGACTTGACTCCTTCCCCTAAACCCTAAACCCTAAACCCTAAACCCTAAACCCCTAAACCCCTAAAACCCCAAGCCCGAAACCTCATCCCAAAAACCCTAAACCCCAAACCCCAAAAACCCTAAACCCCACATCCCAAAAACCCCAAACCCCAAACCCCAGAAGCCCTAAACCCTACATCCCAAAAACCCTAAACCCTAAACCCCAAAAGCCCTAAACCCTAAAACCCGAAACCTCATCCCAAAAAGGCCCGGAGCTTCTTCAGCTGCAGGTCTGATGCAGGGGGCCTGAAAAGTAGAATTGGTTTAGGGTTTAGGGTTTAGGGTTTTAGGATTTAGGGTTTAGGGTTTACAAGGTTTAGGGTTTAGTGCTTAGATTAAAGGAAACTGCAGGTGGGGAGTTTAGGGTATACAGGGCTTCTATAAGGCTTCTGTAAGGTATATTTTTGAGGTATGTTATGGGTAATCAGTACTCTACCTTACCCTTGAGGCTCCATATATGGTACCACTATGGAATGAGGAGCCAAAGGACTATCATATGAAGGTTTGAAGGACCTAATTCCATAATGGTACTATATATGGAGCCTCTAGGTTAACCTACCAAAACCTACTTTCTGGTAGGGTGCCTATAAATTTCATATACTAAGAACCCGAAAAAAAGAGGTTGGTATAAAGAATACTGAGAGAACAGCATCGCTTGCAAGGCTGACCCTAAACCCTCAACCCCTAAACCCTCAACCCCTAAACCCTAATCCCTAAACCCGAAACCCCTGAACCCTAAAGCGCCATAAAGTACCCTGGAATCCTCCAAAAGCCCCACAAAGCCCTCCGAGATCCCCCGGTTGGGTTTAGGGTTTGGGACCCCCCAACCGAAGAATCCCGTCTTTCGGGTCGTCCCTAAACATTAAACCCTTGAACCCTACCTGGATCCTAAAGAACCTGTCTTTCTAGGGTTCCTTATTATGGTTTGCTTTGTATAAGTCCCTAAAAAAAGTAGGTTATTTGGGGTTAAGGTAGACCCTTAGACCTGTTGCTGCCTCAAGCTGCTCGCGCGCCAGTTCCAGCGCCTGGCAGCTGTCCGGATTGGAAGCCCTGCCAGCCCTACGGCTCAGGGCACGGCTAAGGTTTAGGGTTTACCTGGACCCTAAAGAACCTACCTTTTGGGGGTTCCTGATTTCTTTATATAAGTCCCTAAAAACTAGGTTTTTTGGTGTTAAGGTAGGGCTTAGGGTCTACATTAACCTACCAAAACCTAGTTTTTTTTGGTCCGTGGAAACTCCATATTAGGGTTTCTAATGAGAAGGCAAGGCTTTAAAGGCTGAGAGTCTAGGTAGGTCTTAGGGTTTAGTTTAGGGTTTAGGAGTTTAGGGTTTAGGGTTTAAAGATTACCAGCACCCCCCCAAGTCCCTTTGCTAAAGGCCTCATGGTTCAGAACAGTGGGTACTTGGGGTCTAATAGTTGGAGGGTGTTGGTAGGAGTTTTGAGGTTTAGAGTTTTGATAAATTAACAGCCGTAAACCACTGAACTCAGACCCTAAACCTCAACCACCCCTTCCTGTGACCCCAAACCCCGCAAAATAGTAGGTTTATGACCCCTTAATAAGCGGGTAGAACCCCTAAAACGGTAGGTTTTTGGAATTTCAGGTTTTCCCTAGACCCTGCTCCCTGAATGTTGCAGAACCCGAACCCTTCAACGAGTCCACTCAGGGAGCCCTATACCGCGTCACGAAGGAATGTTCCCTGGACTAGAGCTTATAGTTTCTGAGTTCATACGGCCAAAAAAGTGTACACTTTCAGTTCTTGTAGGGGATTATATTATCCCAAAAAGCTTGAAATGCAGCCATTCAGCTACTTAGAGAGATAAAGGATCCTAAAGATCGTGTGAGGCATGCTCCGTATCCAGTCATAAAATGAATTAGGTCCTCCGCGTTGAAGCCGTACTTGGAGAGTTGGGGACGTAGTAAGTAGGTAATAAGTAGATCCAAATTGGGGGTTATAATGCCTATACGTCCATAGAATAACTAGTTACAGTACGAAATCCCGCGACCCTACATCCTAAACTCTAAGCCCTAAACCCCAAGCCCTAAACCCCAAACCCTAAGCCGTAAACCCCAAGCCTTAAACCCCAAATCCTAAGCCCTAAACCCTAAGCCCTGAACCCTAAGCCCTAAACACTAATCCCGAAACCCTAAACCCTAAGTTGAGACCGGCCTCTCGACGCTCTGCCACCTTTCGCATAAGCTTCCGGCTTCAGGCGTCAGAGTTTGGAGTAATAAGGCTTAGGGCTGCGGGTGTGTGGGTGTGGGATTTTATGTTGAGGGATTCAGGGTTAAGGGGTTGAGGTCTAGGGATGGGACAGAGGGTTGAAGGATTAGAAACGGCAAGAGAGCTTTATAGCAGCCCGTGGCCGAACAACTAAAACTGGACCATCTAAACTCAACCTTAAACCCTAAACCCTAAACCCTAAGCCCTAAACCCTAAAACCTCCCGCGGAATGGCACACGCTGATGGAGCTTCCGGCGGCGGAAGCTGTGGCAGCCAGTCACTCTACTGGGAGTAGAGCTCGGGTTTAGCCTTAGGGTTTAGGGTTTAGGGTTTAGGGATTGGGGTTTAGGGTTTAGGGCCCTAGATGGATTTTAGGGTGGGAGTAGAGCTCTGGTCTAGCCTTAAAGGCTTCAGGGATTGGAGAGTTCAGAGTTTCGAACGCAAAAAGGCTTGTGGTCCACAACCCTAGATGGATTTTAGGGCTGTCAGAGGAAATGAACAAGGTAGAACTTACTTCCCCCAATAAGCCAGGGAAATAAAAAGTTAAACTTTCACAGAGCTGCTAAATTATAAGAACCCCAAAAAAGTTGAAAGGTTGGGTATTTCACCGGACGACGTCGCCTTGCTCCTCGACAGCCGAAGCCAGCACCATCTCCATGCCCTCTGCAAACGTGTAGGGTTTAGGGTTTAGGGTTTAGGGTTTAGGGTTTAGGGTGTAGCGGTATCCTGATCGTGAGCACTCGCCTCGAGGCATGGCGCTTTCGGTAGCTGCTAGGCTCCCTCGATCGCTGGACAGCTGCGGGCTGCCCCCCCACCTGGCACGAATAGCAGGCCCAGAGAGCCCAATACACCTTAATTCAGGAATATACCTTAAATCATAAGGGGCCTTATTATTATGATTTCAGGTACATTCCTTTTTTTAAGGGGTATTGGGTTCTCTGGGAGGGATCCTCATACTGGCGCCGCGCCGCGATGACCGCATCGAGATAGACCCGAGGAGCCGGTGGTCCTTTGCAGATGTAGACTTGCGCAAACGATGACCACATGCCATACATAGCTGCGACCATTTTAGGGTTTAGGGTTTAGGGGTTTAGGGGTTTAGGGGTTGGGGTTCAGGGTTTTTAGGGTTTAGGGGTTTAGGGTTGCCATGCATAGGTACTTACCACAGATACCAGACATATACCACCGACATACCAGAGACATGCCACACATACACCACACAGTGTATGTGCACACATTCAATATGTGCACACACATACCAGACATGCCAGACTCCGACATACCATATATACCATAGGGTTTAGGGGTTTAGTGTTTAGTAATTAGGAAAGCAAACTTTGGGGATCCAAAAACCCTACCGGTTTTTATGGCTTCTACCCTCTAGGTTTAAGGGATCATAACCCTACTTTTTTCTAGGGGTCTGGTGTCACGGGACAGGCCTCACGAGCACAAGGCACGATACC